GAGAGAGAGAGGCGCTGTTTTGTTTTTTGATGCTGATAACCTCTATACTTACTCTGCACTCTTGTCATTTGGTCACAAATGTGCTGTGTTACAAGTCTGAAACTTTCCTCTACAAATAGACTGTGTATGTGCTTGAGAGTTATCAATCCTTCAACTTCTAGTGTCTTTCCCCAGAAACCATCATATTCGGGAGTTTGCAAAATATAGGAGAAAGAAGTGGGGTCTAAGGGCTGATTTGGGGTGGGGGTCTCTCTATGTAGCCCTGCTTTGTCTGGAACTCACAGAGATGTGCATGCCTCTGCCTTCTAAGAACTGGGCATACACGGTCATGACCAGCTCAACTAGATCTTGGTGAAATTTAACACCAAAAGAGCTTCTTCATCTATTTTCGACTTAAAAAGAAAATGTTTTTCCTGCATTCACACGCAAAAACAAACAAACAAACAAACAAACAAACAATAACAAAGACCAAAAATCTAGCCAGGTAACTATCATTTCCTGGAGAATTCCTCATACCAAACAGTAAAGCTGCGCTGGTCCATAGGAGAGAGAGCCACTTTTTCCTTACTGAGCACTTAAACTATGGCCAGTAGCAAAAGAGATGTTTTGTAAAACATAAGCCGTCAGATTTGAAAGCTTACTATGGAAGCAATATGTGATACCTTGTTTATACGTATAGTGCTTACCTGTTCAAGAATATGGGTACACTAATACCGCCTGTCTCTTAAGATTACATACGTCTTCAACCTGTATGTCCCAGGACAGGAAGCACCCAGGTGGCACTAGCATCTAGTTACCTTCCCCAGCATTTCCCAGGTCAGTCTGGGACATCGTTCTACCTGCGGAGGCCTGACACACGGGGCCCCGAGCCAGAGTCAGGCTGAGTGCAGTGAGGGCCGGGTAGGAGGGGTCCGTACCCACTGTGCGTCCCGCAGTGCGAGCTCGCGGATGTCCTCCGGCAGCGCGGCCCCGAGCCCTTGTACGAAGCGACTGCACATCTCCATTACTTCCACCACGGCCCTCTTCAAGGTGCAGCGCACTCGGAAGTCCTCTAGGGGAGAGGCTACTGCTGTGGTCTGGGAGTCTGAGGCAGCCTGGGAGTCTGAGGCCGCCTGGAAATCTTGATCCTGCGGGGCGGAGACAAGCACTATTTCAGGAACACCCGCCATCTTCCCGGTTTAAACTAAGGCGGGTTCGCTGAGACCGGAAGGATGCTTCCCTCCCTGGAACTCTCCTACACGCCTCCGACCCGGAACGCGATCCACCGCCCCAAGGTTCCGCCCCAGCCTCCGCGCCCCCAGAGCTCCGCCCTCAGCTTCCGGTCGCGAAGCCTGCAGAAGTAGCTATGAGTTTGGGGTTAGTGGACTGTCACTGCCATCTCTCCGCCTCGGACTTTGACAGTGTATGTGAGGGAGACTTGGGGCTTGCGGGAGTCGGGAGGGCCCTGTCCTTTCCCGCAAGTTTTCTTTTCGTTCCCGAATCCTCAGACCGTACCTAGTCTACGGCTACCCTTTGAACCTGCGTCTTCGTGGGGATTGTTCTTTCTGATCTTACATAGCGGTCAATTATCTCCACGAAGCTTGAGTTTGTCGTTTCTCCTACCACTCCTGAGATGTGCTGATCTGTCCCGGCCCTTAGCAGAGGTTCTAGTTCTGGACAGGGAAGGGACAGACAGGAATAATAACACGTGATGGGGCATGTGTGTGTAGAGGTGGAAATAGGTTTTACCGGCTACGTTGGGAAAAATGAAGAGGAAGAAGCAGGTGCCTATTTCATAGGGGGTGACGCTTATGGTGTGGGTGTATGGTAGTGCTGAACACCGGCAGGTTGTAGACCCCCCATACAGTATAGAATTTGGTCTGTTTTAGTTAACCAACAACTGGAAACACATAATAAAAGAGAATCTTCAAAGATGGGAGATTTTCCAGGAGATGGGAAGGGTAGTTTAAGGTCAGTAAGACATTCGGATTGCATTAGATGCACAGTCTTAACCCATAAAAGTTTAAAGACAAACCCATTTTAAAAAGAGAGACAGACAGACAGAATATTCTGAAGACAAATTTGCTGCTCAGTGGCCAAAAGGTGGAGGAGAGAAAGCTAGAGCATTTAGGGAACGTTTCGGTTTACAGACAAGAGCTGGTAAAAAGCCAGTACAGTGAGGATATCATGAGAATCAGCATAGATGTACTCAACATATTTTAGGAATAACACCAACAATACATGCAGGAGCCTTGGATGCGGACAGCAACGGGAGGAAGATATCAAGAAGAAATCGGACATGACTTAGATGTTTAGTGTGTGCTTACTGTAAGGAAGATGGTGATGGCCTTTGCTGAAATGAAGAAAGAGCAAGGTTTGGGATCAGAGTGGGGAGGTGGGCAGATAGAAACCCTAGTGGGAGTATATTGGTTAAGTCTGATCTCGTCCAAGTGGAAAGGTTAGATTACATGGTCATTTCAAATGTGAGACATGGGTCCAGGAGAGAGTAAAAACTCGGTAAGTTGGAGATTCAGCATGATATCTAAAACCATGAGAAGAGGAGGATATCGCTTAGGGGTAGAGACCTCACACAGTGTGGTCGGGTGTGCTAAATAAACAAAGGAGAAGGACAGCATCTCTTAAGGCAAGTGCAGAGAGGACAGAGGAGTTTGAAGTCACAAAAAGAACAGAGAATCAGTCAAGGAGACTGAAGAGTTACCACCTTAGAGGCTGGGAAAGCAAATCGTGGGGGAAATGCCCAGACGCTGCAGAGGAACAGAGTGAAGGACAGGGACGGCCCTGTGTGTTTGGCAGCAGAGGTTTCTGTTTTGGTGTAGTGTGTGTCACGGAGTGTGAGAGTAAGCAGAAGCCGGGTCACTTCATTTTCTGCCGCCCTGTTCCTCGCTAACGATATTGTCCTTTATGGTGCCTCTGCTGAGTGTATGTGGCCCAAGAACAGTTACTCATGTAAAACAAGCTTGGTTGCTTCTGTTTGTTGTAGGATCTGGATGATGTGTTGGAGAAAGCCAGGAAGGTAAGTTAGAATCCACAACTCCCCCTTTTGTTCCTCTCCTGTAACTGTTTTTAGGGACTGTGAAGACAGACTCTGCTGTTTCCGTGGTTAGCAGTATATTTAAGCTCTCACTCAGTCTGTGGCAGCCACAGGGCTAAGCCCCCACTGAACTTTAGATCATTTGAAGTCTCACATTCTGAAGAAGTTTCTCTTTTATAGTCATATATTTGATAGATGAGGAATCTAATGTCTAAAGATGAATAACAGGACAAAGACATGCTAGTCTGATTTGAAAACACGTTCCTACAGCCACCATGCTTAGCAGCTCTGTAGAATGGAGCAGTCAGTCTTTCACGTCTTAGGGTCACATTATTTTGGAGATCTAGGATATATTACAAAAATCTTCGGAAACACTTTGACTTGTTAGAAAAAGTTATCAAGGGCTAGAGAGATGTCTCAGTGGATAAAAGCACTTGCAAACCTGATGTTCTAAGCTCAATCCCTGGAACTGCAGTGGAAGGACAAAACTGACTCCAGAAAGATGTTCTCTGATTGCTACATGCTTACCGTGGTGTGCACTCCACATATGTGTGCGCACACACACATAGAGAATAAAAAATAAAATTTAAAAAAATTATGGAATCTTGGAAATATTTCTAGTATTACTTGTACACTGTCATGTGTCAGGTTAACTGTCATGAGGGCTTTGGGGTCATATGAGCCCAAGGACATTGATTTCTTTCAAAATGCTGTCTCTGTCCAATGAATTACAGAAATGCCTACCTTTGATCTGTGTAGGTCAATGAAGTGACATTAATACTCACTGAACCTGTGGCCTGAAATAAGAATTCAGTGGTAGTCATTATGATTATATTACTGGCTAAAATATAATAATAAAATATATAAAAATGTAATATCCCCTTAATTTATATTAAATGTGCATATTGTTTGGTATTCTGTTCTTTTGTTTTGTTTTGTTTTAGGCTAATGTCATGGCCCTTGTGGCAGTTGCTGAACATGCAGGAGAATTTGAAAAAATCATGCAGCTTTCAGAAAGGTGGTTGTTGTTGTTGATGTTCCTCCTCCTTTTCCTCCTCCTTCTTCTTCTGTGTGTATATGTATGGCGTGGTGTGTGTGTGTGTGTGTG